GCTCAGGGCTGGCCTGGGTTGTGGTTTTTGGGTGGGGGGTGGGGGGCGCTTAGTCTTAACCCGACCGGCATTTTCGCGGGGTTGGGGCACTTTGGGGCACCACTCCGCAGTGGGGACCTGGGAGGAGAAGGCGGTCTCTGAGGCCGAGGTCCCGCTGTGATGGTGGGGCCCACCATCTGGGGCGGGCACTGGGCCGGGGTGACTGAACGGTGGCTGGGATAGAGCCCAGCGCGGGAGAAAGTGGGACGAGAACAGCAGAGGTGGCTTCCTTCAGGTGGGACGAATGAGGTGGGAGCGGGTGCAGTGGCCAGGGCCCGGCAAGCTTCTGAGTGGATTGCTTGGGGCCACCACTGCCGTCTGACACACCCGAGCTCAGCTGTGCTTAGATCTCAGGCTGAGAAGCCTTGTTTTCCTGTCTGGAAACGCATTTCCTTAAAACCCAAACTCACACCAGCACTACCCGCTCCGCTGGGGGCAAACAGCTCGCCTGGCCTGTTGCCTTAGCAGGGTTTGTTTCTGGAACTCAGGTATTGATGCACGGGTGGCATCTTTCAAACTTTGTGACTGGCTTGCATTTTGCTTCACGGCCAGTAGCGGGTGTGTGTGGTGTCGCTGGGGCACACCATGTACAGCATTTAGTCAGCATTAGAATTAATACTTGGCCAGCAGGTCACTGTCATAGAACAAGCCTGTGGGGTACCGGAATAAACCTGTTCCATGATCCATTCTCGACATGGATTTCTGTGGATTTTCCTCTCACTTGGGGGTATTACACGCATGCAGGAATGTCTGTCAGCTCACATCCAGCAGGTTGGCACTCCTATCACCAAACACCCGGATCCGGGTGCAGAAAGTGGCCGTGAGGTGAGGAGTCAACACCAGCCCCCTAAGGGCTCCTTGTAGCTCACCTGATAAAGTCTCACAGGGCAGCACTAACTATTGTAGAGGAGGAGAAATCGTTTACTCTAGCCTGTTAGGTTCTGTGACTGAGACTTGCAAATTAAACTGACAAATGTTAATCTGAACAGATGAAAAGACATAGTTTTATTAGTCTTAAATTTCATACGGCACAATGACTTCGTAGAAGAGTGCAAAACCAAAATGAGTGCTTAGACTTAAGAGCTTGTATTCCATTTTAACAGAGGATGATAAATTGTGGAGAAGCGACTAGACAATGGAAAGGGTTTGGGCTGCTAGGGCCAATAACTTGTGGGAAAGGAATGAGGAAATAATACAGGGGAACCACTGGAAGGCTGGCATTTTCATAAGGTCTGTTCAGCACATTCAGGGGTGACACCTCATCTTTGGTGGAGTGTGTGCCCCCTTCCTGGTACAGGGTGGCCACCCTTCTGGGAAATTCATGTCCTGCCTTTAGGCAGAAGGAGGAGGGCAGAGGGCTCTTACACAACTGCTGTTTCTCCCTCACACTGTACGGGTGCCTACTTTGTCTTAATGCTGGGGATGCCCGGCAAGCAAATAGGGTTGAAGTAAACAGTTGGGTGTTGCTTGAGGTCAGGCTCAAGGCAGCTGGATCTAAGTGTGAGTGTCTCATGGCACCTTCCAATGAAGCTGAACTTTGGCAAGCTCAGAACAGGCACTGAAGTGAAGGATTCACAGCAAAGAAGGTTGCGATGAGGTAGGGAGTCAGGCTGGGAAGGTGGGGAGAGGAAGGAAGGCAGGAAGGCTGGAGAAAGGAAAAAAATGGGCTAGGGGCTGGGTCATCCTGGGTGGTGGGAGGGGATCCCGGGAAGAGGGCATCTCCTAGCAGATTCAATTTCTTCAATCCATTGTGTGGGTCTGGGCAGTGGGAATAGGGACAGGGCCCAGTGGGCTTACTGGCTGCCCTCACTTCCTTGCAGGGCAAGCTGGAGAAGTCCCTGGACCACCTGCAGAAGCAAATGGAAGATGCCCTGCTGTTTCAGGCTCAGGCGGAGGAGACCTGTGCCCTGTGGCAGGCAGGTGGCTGGGCGCTGAGGTCCCAGGGGTGGGGAGGTGGGGCATTGGTGCCCCCACTGCTGGATGCCGCTGTCACACTAATGCTCCTCATAACACAGCACTCCTGCTCCAGACCCTCAGCCCCCGGGGTGAGTTTGGGTGGGGGACAGGTGGTGGGTGGAGCCTGGTGGTGGGTTTGTGGCGCCCACTCACTGTCTCCCCTATGCCCCCTGCAGAAGATGGTGGAGAGCCAGCGGCAGAATGTGCGTGCAGAGTTTGAGCGGCTGCGCCGCCTGCTGGCAGAAGAAGAGCAACGGCTTCTGCAGAGGCTGGAGGAGGAGGAGCTGGAGGTGCTGCCCCCGCTGCAGGAGAATGCTGTCCGCCTTGGGCAACAGAGCGCCCAGCTAGCCGATCTTGTCGCTGAGCTGGAGGGGCGCTGCCAGCTGCCGGCGTTGGGACTCCTGCAGGTGGGCACACGCCTGGAATGGGCACACAGGGGCTCTAATGGGAAGGGGTGCAGACCCGGGAGCAGGAAGGAGAAAGCCCTTGGTGGAGCAAGCTCTCTGAGCTTGCCCTCTTCTGGATGTCCTGTGTCCTGCCTGTGACATACTGGGGTGAGGACTGGGACTGGTGAGGGCCTTATGGACATGCCACTGCCTGGGGAATAGATATGAACCCCAAACCCCACTGAGAACTGCTGTTGGTACCTGTCCGGGAGCCCCATTGGAGACAGAAGAAGCAGAGCTCTGAGTGACTTATCCCAGGGCCCCAGCTACACCAGAGTTTGGGGTCCTGGATGCCCTTCCAGGATTCCCCCGTAACCACCCTCTGTGGGTACCGAGCATTTTCCTAAAAGGGTGTGTACCTAGTCCCCACTGCCCAGAGTGGCCAGGTCATCTCTACAGAGGTCAACTTCCTTCAGGGTTCAGGCCCCTCCCCACCCCTGGGCAGGGGCCCTTTCTCCATCCCTCTCCTAAGTGGTTAGGGCAGCTCCAGACCTTGACAACCAAGACTATCCCCTCCCCACTTCCCCTAACCCAGTAAAACAAGTAAGGACGCTGTTTCTAACTGCTTCGCACCTGGCCCTTTGCACGTGCCTCCCCCAGGCCGGTACTGTCGGTTTCTCCTGATGAATCCTCAGGTTTCAGAAACCCACTAGGCTCCCTTTTCTTTAGAGGCCTAGCAGGTGCCCAGGCTCCCCAGACAGAATCAGCTGCTGTGTGTGAAATTCCCTGCTCCTAAGGAACCCACGTTGGGCACAATATCTTACTTTCCCTCTTCATCCTTTATGGCCTGGTAGGTGGTACACAGTATGGTTAGAAGGACTGCTTGTGGGGTTTATTTGATTGACAAAGTGGGCTGGGTCCCTGCTGTGTGCTAGGCAGTGTTCTAAAAAGACAAGCTGTTAACTGTCAGGAGCTGGCATTCCAAATAACAGATTGTCTCTGTCAGCTCAGGCTGTGTAACAAATGACACAGGTGGCTTAAGCAACAGATGTTTATTTCTCCCAGTCCTGGAGCCTGAGATCCAGGTGTGGGCAGGGCCGGTTCTTCTGAGGCCTCTCTGCATCAGCGTACACCTGTGCCCTGATTTCCTCTTCCTGTAAGGACACCAGCCATATAGCATTAGGGTCCATCCTGGTGACCTCATCCTATCTAATAAAGAGGTAATATGCAAATTGACCATCACTCCAGTGCACAAGATAGCTGCCCCCATGTGGTCAAAGATGGCCACCCCCATGTGGACACAAGATGTCCAGCAGGGGAGGACAGTTGCAGGGGAACCAGGCCTGTAGGGGAGGGCAATTAGGGGCAGGGTAGCAGTTAGGTGTTGATCAGGCTGGCAGGGGAGTGGTTAGGGTGATCAGGCTGGCAGGCAGAAGCGGTTAGGGGCAGTCAGGCAAGTAGGCAGGTGAGCAGTTGGGAGCCAGCAGTCCTAGATTGAGAGAGGGATGCCCGACTGCCTGTTTAGGCCCAGTGGGATCAGGCCTAAACGAGCAGTCGGACATCCCTCGAGGGGTCCCAGATTGGAGAGGGTGCAGGCTGGGCTGAGGGACACCCCCCCCACCCCCTGCACGAATTTCATGCATCGGGCCTCTGGTTTTAATATCATCACCTCTTGAGGAAGCCCATTCTTCAAATACTGACCCATTCTGAGGACCTGGTCATTAGGACACCAACATGTGGATTTCAGGGCTACAAGCAGCCTGTGACACTGAGTAAAATGCTCTTATGCATCATTTTGGGGGAAAGGAGCACCTAAGGAGAGAGGCCTTACCGGGAAGTTGGGCTCTGAGTCAGGACATGAGGGAGGGCAGCTGATGGAGGCCGTGTAAGGTGCCTGTGGGCGGGATGGGATGGGAGCAGGTGGGGCTGCAGGGGCAGTTTCTGACCATGTGGGGGCACTGCAACACGGATGGAGGTAGGGGGCAAGACCATGTGACGGGCACTGACACCACATGTCTCTCCCACAGGACATCATGGACACCCTGCGCAGGTAGGAGTCCAGCCTTCCCCGAGGGAAGATGGTTGGGTACGGGTGGGGTCGGCCCACCCTGGGTGTGACACCTGGCTGCCTCTCCAGGGTCCAGGAAGTGAAGCTGCAGCCACCTAAGGTGGTGCCCATGGAGATGAGGACGGTGTGCAGGGTCCCGGGACTGGTGGAGGCTCTGCAGAGGTTCCGAGGTGGGTGCCACAGCATACCAGGGGGGCGGGCGGTGGAGGCGGGGGGACCCAGCTGGCCAGGTCTGATCCAGAGGAAGTGCCCATCCCAGGGCCTGTGGTAGGAAAGGCACGGAGGCTCCTAGTTAATGGCTGAGGAGCTGAGGGGTCAGGGCAGGCTGTTGAGGGAGGGCCAGCCAGGCTGGGCTGTCTGGTGCATTTAGGAAAAGTGAAGGTCGGTCCATCAGGTGCCAGGACACCTGTGTAGGCCCAGGCCTGGGGAGCCCAGTATGAAAGCTGGGCTGAACACTTTGAGGATTGGAAGAGTAGACATAGAAAGCGCTCAGGTTCCTCCTGAATTTCAAGAGAGTGAATTGCAAGGCAGTGTATGACCACTTTCCAGAACATTCCAAGTTGTAACTGCAAGTGGTTAGGTGATCTTTCGAGGAAGACAAGATAGAGAGCAGTCACTATGGCCAACTCTGAGGATGTTTGAGGCAGACGTCATGCAGGCTGGCGGATGGGGCCCGAGGTGACCACTGCTCTGTCTGCAGGGGACATGACGCTGGATCCGGACACTGCTAACCCCGAGCTGGTCCTGTCGGAAGACATGCAGAGTGTGCGGCGGGGGGACCTGCGGCAGCCCCTGCCTGACAGCCCTGAGCGCTTTGACCCCGGGCCCTGTGTGCTGGGCCGGGAGCCCCTGAGCTCCGGCCGCCACTACTGGGAGGTGGAGGTGGGCGAGCGGGCCAGCTGGGCCTTGGGTGTCTGCAGGGAGAATGCTAACCGGAAGGAGAAGGGTGAGCTCTTTGCAGGCAATGGGTTCTGGATCCTGGTGTTCCTGGGGGGCTTCTACAACTCCTCTGAGCGGGCCTTTGCCCCCCTTCGAGACCCACCCCGGCGTGTAGGCATCTTTCTGGACTATGAGGCTGGGCACCTGGCATTCTACAGCGCCACCGATGGGTCACTCCTGTATGCCTTCCCTGAGACGCCCTTCTCAGGGACGCTTCGGGCCCTCTTCTCACCTCTGTCTAGCAGCCCCACCCCCATGACCATCTGCCGACCCAAGGGAGGGCTTGGGGATGGGCTGGCTTCCCAGTGAGCAGGTGTCTCATGCCTTTGTCCTGCCTTTGAGTCTTCAAGGGTATCCTGAGCCACAGGAAGAGCTCCCAATGCCACTTTGTGTGCTTAGTAAAATCCCTCTACCTCTGTCATCCCCGGGAAGCCAACACTGTGGGGCCAGCACCATCTCCCAGGTGACCTTCCATGGCCATCTGATGTCACCAGTGCATTGCTCACAGTCCTCTGCATAGCCCAAGCCAGGGTCCTGGGGAGCTGTGTTTGCAGGAGCCCAGCTGGTCAGCGTTAAGGCCAGGGCCTGTGGAACTTTCTGAGGCTTCAGCCTGAGTCCTTGACAGCCCCAGGGCTGTATCCCCAAAGAGCTGCTGTCTTGCGGCCTGCTGGGAAGAAGGTGAGTCCGTCAGCCTGTCTCAGGGCCTGGTCCTAGAAAATGGTGCTGGATGTGGATGCCCCATTAATCGGGGTGCAGCAGTCATCAGGAGGCGGGGCGGGGCATGGGAAAGGCCAGAGGAAGAGTGCTCAGGGCAAAAGGTACTACATAAGGGGTCTGAGGAACCTGGGTACAAGCCCTCAAGTCCCCCAGCATGGGCCACTGTGGGCTTCTGCAGAATGTTCCTTCCCACCCCAGAGCTGAGCACTAGCTGAGAAAAGACTGGCCCTGCCTGGGGAAGGGGTGAAGCTGCGTAGACCGCCCCCCCACCCCCACCACTTCAATCCAGGATTTCTGTTGGCTTGTTTTGGTGCTTTTTCACAAGGTGTGTACCCCAAGATTTTATCTGTGGTAAGGACCATCCTTACAGTAAATAAACTAACCATTGTCTGTGATGCCACTTGTGAATTGGATGGGAGAGTCCATGGGCAAAGGCCTACCATCCACTGCAAATTTGGGGACACAGTGGCTGGCTGCATTTCATGCAACTGCCATGGGATTCTTTTTTTCAAATAATCTGATCAACAGTTCTAGGCTCCATGGTGTTCCATAGCTAGTTACTTGATTATTTATTTGCTCATTCTCCTATTGTTGGACTTTTTTTAAATGTATGTACCACTTTGAACAATTCCTTCAAATTATGTACCCGGGAGGTTTTTCCTCAGTCAAGCCAGGAGTCTGCCACTTTTCTGGCTGGGGAGGTTTCCCCATCTTTTCCCAGTTGACTGCCTACTGTTTCACTTCCTGTTGAGAATCTGAGGTACTGGTTGGTTCTTGCCTGAAGCAAGATTTGGACTTTGGGACTTCCTTGATGGCCACCGGCTGCCAGAAGGTGAGACAGCCTCGGTGAGAGTTTGGAGGAGCACACGACTGCCCCAAGAACAGCAGGATGGACACCTAACCAAGGCTCAGTGTGAGGGAGGGAAAATATTCCCTCCACCCATCTGATCCCTGTTTGGAACCTGGTAATAAAAGATTAATGAGACAAAGAAGTTTATTAACACATGCACCTCCTGCACATGGGAGACACGCAGAGGAAATGAGTAACTCCAGCAGCAGCTTAGAAGTCCGGCTTCTGCAGCCACTGCAGTAAAGAAGTTTGTGGGAAATGACAGTCCGAAGCAGTACCAGGGTAGGGGCTGGTTGGGGGATTTATGGAGATTCCCAGAGCCAGCCCCATGCTGAGGGATCTGATTGTCTCCTGTGACTGACTCGGTCCTTTTAGGCAGGGGGAGGACTTGCAGCTTCTCTACTATCTGCATATCAACTGCCTTTGGCTCAAATGATCCTGTTGCCAAACTGGGAAGTTTGGGAAGGAATGTTCACATATCCATCACCAGGTGACAGAAGAAATGAGCTTAGTTGATGACCACACACACATGCTGAGTGCACTGTCCATGCATTTTACCTACTGAGTCAGCAGACCCTGTGATAGCTCTTCACTCTTCTGTGCAGCATGGACCACAGTAAAAAAGATTTTGCCCATGTAGCTGATACCTCAGAGTGGCTAAGAGCTACAAAGATGTGTCCCAACAAGTAGTGTCTCCCAACACGAGCAGCAGGTGTCTTTGGCACTGCTAGTGGGATCTCCTGTATTACCATGGGGTGCCCCCCTACACTACCAGGGGGTGTCTCCAATACTGCTACTGGGAAGGGGACCTGGCCCTTGGTGGGTCTGCTTAGGGCCCGTTGGTAGTATGTGGGTTCTTGACTTTATGCAGGAAAGATTTCACAACACAAGTCCAGGTGAATTTTAGAGGACGTTTATTAAAGCTGGGGACAGTGAAGAGAGGGCCGGGGAAATGAGCCTAGGTCGGGCTGCTTTGGCTCACTAAGAAGTCAGAAAAGGGGGGCCTTGGGTCGGGTTCTGGGGGATTGTTTGGGATGAATTTGCTGCCCTGGTTTGCAAGCCTGGTAGTGTCTGTTGAACTACCAGTGGATGTCTCCTGCACTAGCACTCTGTCCTCTGCCTGTGGAGAAGAGGGCTGGGGTGGGGGGAGGCTCAAAACACTTTCTAATTGTTATTGTGATTTCTTTTTTGGCACCTTGGTTATTTAGACGTATGTTTAATTTCCAAGTATTTTAGGCTTTCCCAGATTTCCTTCTGTTGACTTCTGATTAAACACCAATGTGGTAAAAACACAAACTTAGTTGTTTTATTGCCTGGCATATTGCTTTCCTGGAGAATGGTCCATGTGCATTTGACAAGAATGTGTGTTCTGCTCTTCAGTGGAGTGTTCTATTGTATCAATGATTGTACAGATGGGATTTTAATTTTTGGAGGGGACTGAGTGACAACACCTTTGAAAGATTACCGTATTTGCCGGCGTGTAAGACGACTGGGCGTATAAGACGACCCCCTAACATTTCCACTCAAAATACAGAGTTTGTTATATACTCGCCGTATAAGACTACCCCCTCTTCCGCACACCTTCCACACACCAAATAAAAGGTAAAACAATATCAGATTTGATTTTAATATTTTAATTTATATTCAAATGCTTATGACATGCAGGAAAACTGTCACAAGGCTGTATGTAATCAAACATATACATAAAACAGTGCAAGTTTATTACCGGTAAACATACCGGTAATTCACTAAAGAAAACACACTCTATAGACTGGTACCGTAGATGCTTCTCAGGAACACAGGCAAGCAGCCCACAACCTAGAGGGACTGTCAATGATAGAAGAAAGAT